GTGAAGTTTATTGCTCTAAATTGCAAAATGATGATTTGAGGGTAAGTTTCATCAGCCCATAATATCTTGGCCTTTAATCAAATCTAATGCATTTTCACGTCAGGAGAGTTCCAGAAGGGGAGATTAGCCTGTCGTTACTGAAATGAGTTTTGAATTGGCAAGTAGATGCACTAAGAAATGCATTAGGTAATATTGGCCATGGTAATTACGACCTGGCTGGGGGAGACGCAGTATCCTGGGGAATCGTTAGCAGATGGATGTGTTCTAGCGCATGCCCACGGAGGTGCTAGATCAGGAGAGAGGGTCCTGTTGCCTCTGATAAGCTCACTTGTAGGTACAGCAGAGCGCTAATAGGCCCACTGCGGCTTGCCATTCCCAGGAACCACTCTCAGAACCATAAAATTATGAATGTTTCTTTTATTGGGATAGTTATTCTTAGTGGTAGTCGTCCTGTAAAGGAAGTAGGAAGCTGAGATGTTTGTCTGTAGCAATAGGTGTTTGCAGCAGGACTGTGATGATTATTTGTCAGATTCTGATTATCAATCTTTCCTCGGGAAGTGAAAAGAAAATGTAATGTATGTTATATGTTGTGGCTGGATTGTATCGCTGATAGCATTACTGGAGGGACATCATAGAGGTTTATTCTGGCTCTGTAATTGAATCTGTACACATAAATCTCATCCGGAAAATTATGAAAACAATTTTGGGTTGGCAATTTGGTGATCCGATCAACAGTAAAACACACACATTAGCTGCCCCGGCATCATTGGGTCATGTGTCCCTGTAGCTTTATTTAGGGTTGGAGACGGGGTCATGTTGGAACAAGACCAGGCGCTAATAGAACTTCAGTCCTTGAACAATTAGAATGACATAATGAGAAACATTATTGAAGGCAGCAGGCTGTGCTAGATTGCATTACCAGTGATCTCACAAGCTTGTCAAAGTAAATAGACTGTCGTATTTGTTCTTGCAAGAGCAACCAGCCAATTTTCTGATGGGCAAAATACTGAGTTGCTACTAAGATGGACATAAATCGTATTTTTCAATAAATCGGTTGTGTAGCACCCACAAAGTTGTTCTGCCCTTCGTGTCTGTTTTAATCACGACAATTTGTAAAAATGTTACTTTTTGTAACCGTGTTTAGCGAAGCCTGGTTATATTAATAAGACTTTCATTTTGTGTCGTGGACACATTGAGCGACTTTCACGCTTGTAATTCCCCCTAACTCTCGATGAGTTGAGAAGATGAGGAAAAATCAATATGGCCGGAGAGTCCTCTGAATGATAAATTTTACTACTCTGTGGGGGAATAAGTCTTGGGGCTTTTTGGCTTTTTCATTTCCAGCAGTACGAACAAGAAAGGTCGAGAAACGATTTGTCACTACCGGAAACCTGTGCAGGAATCTTATTCAAGGATCAGGCAAAAACACATCATAGATTTCCAATTACCTTTTTTTCATTGTAATTATTATCCTTGATTTGCCTGTAACCATGCAGCCTGTCCCAGGATAGCTATAAATGAACTTTGTCTGTCAATACCAAAAAGATTTACTTGTCTCTTGTAACCAGAATTTACCTTGAGGAAATTTGAGAGTGAGAAACGCTGGGGCTGTTTCTAAATGAATGTTCGATGTGAGTCAGTATAGGGCTTTGCCATAAGGAGGATATGAGAAATAGGTAGACGATGATTTTCCACCGGCATTGACACATTAAGGACCAAGAGTTATAAGAAACTTTTAAATGAAATAATAAAAAAGGAATTGGTTGAGATTTATTATGGACAGTAACAGCATGTTAATGTTTAATCGGACATTTAAAAGAAAAAACGATGGAAACAGCGCATAAACCGTTTCCCTTGCCTTGGCAATTTAGTTCCATCATTGCTGGAACAAGTTGTTGTTTTTTCTGACCTCGCAGTTTATTGTGTATGCACTAAGTGAGTCCAGATCAAAAGTTAATTTCATTGGGAAGTTTGCAAGAACAAAGGGCAATACACTAGGGACATGGCTCAATATTGCTAGACGGACCAAAGGATTGAAATGCAATCGTAATGAATATGCATGCAACCACTTAGGACCAGATTCAAATCGGAAAATGAGATTCTGTACTTTTTACCCAGTTTTCCCTCTTGACTCTCAATTGCAGTAATTTGGCCCTTCGACTCTCCTGAAAGATCAAATAGTAAATTTGCATTTTGTTGATGAAATTAGTTAGAAAACATTTTGATACTACAACTAACAGAGCTCTTGCTCTGATCTGGTCGGAGGCACTTGGGTTCTTTCTCATTGTTGCAAATCTTCAGACTTGTTGACCAGGGTTTTTATAAAACATGGCATATCAACTGAAATGGAAAAATATCATGAATTTGCCCCCTTTGTACTTAAAGATCAAATTTGCTCAATTGATAAAGTTTGTTGAAACATGGAAACAAGGGAATTGGAATCAGTCTCCTTTGAGCTTATAATGGAACGAGGCGCAGAAGATCATTACACTTATTCTTTGGTCATAGAAAATGATTAAATTTGGATAACTGGCCAGTACTTCACATCCATTTAAGTTGTTAATTGGACAAGGGTGTATGGATCAGTCAACATCAGAGGTACACAAGCACACCGTGATCAGTGTCCAACATGAGTAAGAAATTGCTCTTAACACAAACCCCTTTTACGTACTGGCGGCAGTGCTCGTGGAATGGTTTCATTCTCTAGTCAATTGGAAGAAGCCTTTGAACATGTGGACTTTATCGCCTACGTCAAAGTCTAGCAGAGGGAGTTTTGTGTAAAACGAGTGCCCCAGGGGGCATCACTGCTTGTCAGGGTGATAGGCTGGGGCTGCGGCAGTGGCGGTGTGCTGAGGGTCGGCAGACTGATGCCAATGTAAGAATAATACAAGCAGATATAAAGGCCATGTTGGATCTGTGTCTTGCCACAGGATGTGTTGTAGAACACAGCGTCCAACATCCGGGTTGTCTCTGGAGATTGCTGCTCCATTCTGCTCGTGTCACCTGAGGTCATGGCAGACTAGTTCTATGTGGACGTATTGGCATATGAAACATGATAAGGGCTTCGTCACACTTTCGAAGAAATATCAAATTTTACTTCACAAATTTTCCGATGGGCCTGTTCAGTCTTGAGGTGTTTTTTGTGTCTTCAACTTTTGACAGGTTTCTGGTTGCTAAGTGACAACAACCGCTGGTAACCAGTTTATCTTGAAACATTTGCACACCAAGTCCATTAATGCCTTAAACACAACAGCTTCTAACAAGATTTAAAAGCAGCAAGTGCATTTGCAGCTTAGACTCCAACCACAAAGCTCTTTGTGGTGACCATATAAAGTGGGGAAAAATGCGCTAAGTTGCAAAGGTGCATTTTATTGTCAGGAATCCTCCAGGATAAGCCTTTAAAAATCAACCACTCCATTAGGCATGGCTGTATCTTGTGGCATGTGAAGGGGCTGGGAGATCTACCAACAACTGTTCTCAAATTTACTGCCACTATTCTTGTATCTTCATGTGTGATCCAACCACCACAGCCATGGAACCGTCAAACGCCATATCTTTGATCATGGACCAATTTGATATTCAGAATCCACACTTCACCAAAGGTGTTAAAGACCATTTTGATGGAAATAACTCTTTCTGAATAAATCACCAGGAAATTCCATATTTCCATACATTTTGATGAAATTTTGAGCTCTTCATGAAAGAAAGTAGACCGAGTATATTTGGTTCATTATCCAAAGTGCACTTTAGTTCTTGGACGAGGGTGCGACCATGTTGGATGTTTGTTATTCCATCTCGTGGCAACTGGGTGGTCCCCCAAACACAACCAGCATTGTTAATTAGATCCCCCTCGTAAAATGAATTCAGATAAGGGTGACACAAATATTGCTGAATTATCAGCAGAAACTTAGATGTACAATAAGGCTGTACTTGGTAGTAGCCATAGCTCGTGCTGTTCTCGGAAAGGCCATTGTGTAGCATGTTGGGCAAGAGGCAATAAAAGAGTGAATGTGGGTTTGATGAGAAATCTATTGCTGTACATGTGCTAATGAAGTTAATAAATCTAGCTGATCATGCGGCGAGAAGGCTGCATCATGTAGAGAGCCATCAAGCAGTAGATACCACAGTAATGGCGCTGTTGCTGAAGACAAAGGCTCTAATTATCTCGCACGAAAAAGACGTGATGCACTGTCCTCTAATTACTCTAATAAGAAGCAAGATAGTCCCATCTGTTTTCTTCAGCAGTTGAAGTTAATTGGTCTCCTGAGTTTTATTGCCCTTACAGAATGATAATATATTTGTTTGAAAAAACAACCATGAGGCTTTAAGGAGGTTTGAGGAGAATTTATACGTTAAATGTGGAAAATGTGTATGGTAGTTAAAAACATGAAGAGGAACGTGTGGATCAGCGTATCGATTTGAATGAGACTATGACAAGACTGACAGTTATCATAACTATTTGGTTGCTCAAGCTCCGAGCGGCTCCTGGTCGTGGTCTGTGAGGGTTGTTTCATATTTGTGTCCCATGTTTGTTGAGTTAATATGGATAGTTTACCTAGCTTTGGCGTCACTGTTTGAGATCGGTTAATATGTCCCAAACAGCTGTGAAATCTGAAAGTCAAAGGTCATTAAGTTTCCCTAGCGTCCCTCACCTGGCTTTGATCAGGCCAAGAAACTCGGGAAAGAAAAATGAAAATATGAAATTGTTGAATTTTCGGGATCAAATATTGACGTTATGGTTTCCTCTTCTTGTTACTAGATTTAGAAATATGAAATGGTATTTGGAAATGTTTCATGTCAGTGACTTTAAACAAGGAGTTTATGAATGATATTTGAACATGTTTCAGCTAGACGACTTTAAACAAGGAGTTTATGAATGATATTTGAACATGTTTCAGCTTGATGACTTTAAAACAAGGAGTTTATGAATGATATTTGAACATGTTTCAGCAAGATGACTTTAAACAAGGAGTTTATGAATGTTTTTTTGTATGTTTCAGGTTCATAGTCAGTAGTAGAAACAACGAAATTGACATCAAGTTGAGCGACAGTATAGACATCATATGCCCTACATATCCGCCAGGCACACCCACATCAAAGATGGAATTTTATGTAATATATATGGTAAGTTGAAATTTCTATATTATAATGATAGATACCATCACTTTACATATTTTGTTAAGTCTTTAATATATTCATAGTAAATTCAAGTGATTTAACAACAGCTTTTTGAAAATGCTAGTGGCACATAAAAGGCCACTTGTCCCAGTGGGAATTATGATCTTGTAGAAAATGACATTTTACCTTTTGAGAGAAAGATATTGTGGCTGATGAGGGGTTATACAGTATTATATCATTCATAATTCATGGGGGTGTCGTAGCCTAGTGGTTAAAGCCTTCGCTCATCACACCGAAGCCCCGGGTTCGATTCCTGACATGGGTACAATGTGTGAAGCCAATTTCTGGTGTCCTCCGCCGTGATATTGCTGGAATAATGCTAAAAGCAGCGTAAAAACATACTCGCTCACTCACTCATCATTCACTGTGTATAGGAGACTCTTGTCGCAACCAAACTGAAACCTCACTCAACAAGCCGCTGCAACCAACTATGTAGGGTTGTGATTCTCATCTTGCTATGTCTGCCCCACATTGGTGAAACACACCCTTGTAACACTATGTTAATGATGTGTTTGTTGCAGGTGGGAAAACAGGAGTATGATTCGTGTATAATCAACAACACAACCAAGGCAAAACTGCTCATCAAGTGTTCACGTCCGATGGCCAATCCCCCTTTGCTCTACACCCTCCTTATTAAACAGTTCCAGTCCATTCCTGGCAATCCCGACTTCCAGCCAGGGAAGAAGTACTATTTCATAAGTAAGTATAGGAATGCATCTTGTTGAATGCCAGTCCCCAATACTCAAGCTTTATCACAGCAGCCTGTTAATAATTTTGTCTGGACCAGGCAACAAATGGTTAATAGCATGAGCAACAATCAATATTTTGGGACATGATGACCAGAAATCTGACAATCTTGTCTGGACCAGGCAAAAATGATTAAAAGCATGAGCAACAATCCTGCTTTGGGGCATGATGACCTGAAATCATCCAAGTCAGTAATCCCGATTCATGTTAGTTGACTCTTACAACAAGAATAGGTTACCGGAGACCAATCCTATCCGGGGCTACCCCTGGGAGGAAGCATATTTGTATATGGTGGAGGCACAATACAGTTCAAATCTCATCAAACTGGCCATAGAAATTCAGAACAGAACTCTACAGCACCATCGAAGTGTTCAAAGCACCCTTGTATCATCAATACACTGAAACAGACTCCAAAGACAAAAACATCAGAGTGGTTTAATATCCTATATGGAAATATATTGCTTGTTTGTCCTGAATGTATCTGGCCATAAAAATGCATGGAAATAGTACATATGATTCTATGAATAAATCAGACATTTCAAATCATATGTTAGAAAGACCTTATTTACACAAGAAGCTCTTTTGTGAGAGTGTTGAATTAACCATGAGTCCTGGAGAATATATGGGCCGACCATTCTAATAGATATTCCATGTTGGAATGGTCTGTGTGGATCACACCCCTGCTGATGGAGGGATGCTGTTTCGTATACCATTGTTTGTCTGGTCAGTTAGCAATGGCTGACCCCAACGTTACATATTCTGGTCCTGTGTGCGATGCTTGGCTCCCGAAGCACTAGAGGGTAATGACATATGAAGACGGCCATCCACCAGACACTTATTTGAAATTATGCGCACAACCAGATCAAGCCATGTCTTGACTCTTCTGTGTCGATATTTGCAAGATAATTTCCGACTGTTTGGAATCCTGGGGGTGGAAACATGCCATCTTGCAATATATCAAGTGTGTTAGTCATTGCCGTTGTTATTGGTGGAGATGGAGGAAGAACATAATTACATCTCTTCATGCACTGTTTCGTTTCATGTCATGCAAACTTCGTTTGTAATTGAAACAAAGACCAGCTCCACGGTCTAGTGGATAGAGCGTCTGCCCGGAGAGCAGAAGGTTGGTGTATCGATTCTACAGCCATGTCGTACACAAAGATGCTAAAAGAAGGTGCTTGTTGTTACCCTGCCTGACACTCAGCATGAAGGGGCTAAAACAAGGACTGGTCGGCTTGGAGTCAGTATATACTGTGTCTGAGTGGGATATTCCTGTTAAACTGCGGCATGGTATCTCAGTGGACTGGCACTATAAAATTGGCATTAGTCCAGACCAGTACAAGAAACCATGCACATGTGTGCATGTGTGTTCCCATATTAGTGCATTAATCGTGAATGCAAACCCCATTTCACCCCACCTCACCCCACCTCACCTAAATGAAACAAGCCCTGGGAATTCCCGGGCAGAATAGCTCCTCAGTACCACTGCTTCAGAGGGAGACAAGGAGTGGCATGTCTTTCTAACCCCAACAAAGTGGGTCATCTCTCATGCTATTAACCATTGGTTTGGCTGGCCCAAACTATGAAATTTTACATTGGCAGTTAGAATATATATATGCATAACTGCCATGTAAAACATCCAACGTATCATTGCCATTCTTCTGATTATTCTATGTATAGCAATTTGTAAGAATATTGGACCTGGTTCACTTGTTTATGATGAATAAGAACAGACTACGTTCACTCGAACACAATACCATGAGACAGACATGAGAGCCTAACAATTCGAGCCATCTTGTAAACTGAAACCAAGTAGAGAATGCCCACAAGTAGCAAAAAGATCCATCATCAATGTAAGTGAAATTAAGAATTTGATTATTTTTGCAGCAACATCAGGAGGTGAATACCATGAACTGAACAATCAGTATGAAGGGGCCTGCCTGACAAAGAACATGAGACTAATTCTCAATGTGTGCTGTAACGGTACACAGACAGCCAAACCCACACGTAAGTTGATGTCAGCTCGGCTGGGCCAAGGGAGAGAACTGCGTATGGCCCACTGCTGTGACTATAAAAGGGAGCTATTTCTGCTTCAGATTTGTTGTGGCTGCAGTGTGCTTTTCCACTTGGACTTGATGATATATTTTGAATTTTAAATGTTAGGGATTAGTGAGTTTGTTTGTTTAATTATGGTATTGTTCTTTAAATTTTAGTTTCTTTCTGTATAAGGAAATTGTTTTTAATCATGTTTTTCAGGTAGTTTTTTAGTAAAATCATACAACATTTGATACACCATACATCAATTCAGGAATTGTTTGTTTTGTTTCTGTGTCTTTTTTTTTTAAAATATGATTTAAGGTCTTGAAGATCATGCTCTGTAAAACTCCTTCCAAATGAAGTGTTCTGTTTATGACTGATTCACTAGATTGAAAGCTATAGAAAGTTTATAGAAGCATATGGTGTAGTGTTATTGTGGACAATGATTCTGTCAGTGTCCATCACAAAGTCACCTAGTGTGCTAAAAAGCATTAGGACAACCACACTTGATATTTGCGCACATATTCTAAAAGGCGGGATATTGATGTGTTGTTGTGTATTTCAGCTGACAATCAGACTCCCCGACCAGTGGAGACGACCCCACGATCCATGGTGACCACACGGAGACCAACGACAACTAGAACAACTACACCAACAACAACTACTACTACTACACTTAGGACAACACCCAGAACAAGTAAGTACTTACGATATCCACATGAGTCGTACTTAAATCCTAAAGTTTCCAAAATGTGGCCTTCATTATTTTTGATACACTGGCTTAACATAGAACTAGATATACATGATATACGTATGCTTTGCAAACATGCTTGCAGCCACCTAGCTGTGTTTAACTTGGTGGTAGGGGCAGTGAAGCAATCTGGTGTTGAAGTGTTCGCTCATCGCGCTGAAGGCTGGGTTTGATTCTCCACATGGGTACAATGTGTAAAGGTCATTTCTTGTGTCCCTTGCTGGAATATTACTAAAAGCGTCGCAAAACTATACTCATTCACTTAGTATGCACTAGGCGGTGAGGGAGCCTAGTGGTTAAAGTGTTCGCTCATCACGCCTATGACATGGGTTTGAATCCCCACATTGGTACAATGTGTGAAGCCCATTTCTGGTGTCCACGCCATGATATTGCTGAAATATTGCTAAAAGCGGCATAAGACCACACTCTCTCACTAGTCGTCATGACAAATTGTATCCCCATTACAAATAAAGACTATTATTTAGTATTAATTTTATTGTTTTTTACTTATTTTTGTCTTCCTTGTTTCAGAAAAACCAACAAATACAGACAGCATTCCAGGAAATGGAAACCTTCCAGATGAAAATGTAATTCATGCAAATGGACCTAAAAATGTAGGCCTCATAAGTGCCGATGCTAGCCATAGGACTATTGTAAATGTGGGAGTTCTCCTCATGTCTGTGACAATTGCTCTGCTGCTGCGGTAGTCTTTCGCCGTGTCAGTGAATAATGACTGATATCCTGTGTGCATCATTGTTGTGATCTCGATACTCACAGAAGTACCAATATGGAGCAAAGAGTTATACGCCCTTGGATGAGAGTTACCTCCCTTTCAAGGTTGAGTTATCTCCCCAAATGAAGAAGGTGACAGTTCAACTCCTGAATGGAATGTAATTCCGGTTGATTTTCGAGCATCCAAGTTGTTGAGAGGTGTACAAGAGGACCGCCTTTGCCATTTCTCACTGCTCAATACTGGTTGAGATGGTCGATTGTGAACACCAGTTTTTCAACAGTTCCTGCTCAGAAATACTAACCAATCAACGATGATGGAGGGAATCAGAAGAGGGATACACCCGTTAACCCTATCCATGTTGATGCAGGTCTGGAACTTCAAGGGTTAATCCATGAACCCTGAACCCTGCTGAAACCCAATATCCAGAAGTCACAACACTGACCTGACATCAGCATGAAAAGGGTTAACACCAAAAAAAGCCAGTCCGCATTCTCACAAGGACTTGGAAGGAGAACTTTCTGCAATTTCAAGAAATCTGTGGAAAATATTTGACCTAAGATCTCTGACCTTCTGACTCTTCCATAAGAAAATCTTTCCTTGTGCCAGGTGCAAAGCTTGCCAATGATATTGACTTGAATGAACTTGTGATTTCATTTTGTACATAGATTTTTTGACCAATCAATGTGCTTTATATATTTGTCAAATAACCTATGAAATTGCTTCTTGTATCTGTGATTTGATCCAGTTGTGTGGTTGATTGTGCACACGCACCTGGAGTGTACGTTTGCACATTGCCGTGACAACACACGACAACCATCATCCAAGTTGGAATTCACAAGGAACTGTGCTAAGACTACACGTTTTAGTCCCAGCTGTGAGTAATGGATGATTCACCTTATAATACTAAAATACTGTACAATATGTGAAATATTATGAAATATATTCAAAATACGACCAAGGAAAAGCAACCACTGTCATCTTAATAGTTTAGCTGGTCATTCTGGTAGGAACCATCACCGCCATCAGAAACATATCTCCAAACTACTTCTTAATATTAGCCACTTATCACTGGTTGTATTTCTCTTGGTGAACTAATGTATGTGTATTACAAAAAACTGTTAATGCATTCCTAAGCGTACCATATTTGTGTTTTGTACAGAATCCGATGGTCTGAAACTTATGCTATTTAACCAACAAACCTAGTGCTTCAAGCTGTTTGAGTTTTCAAGTTTTGTTCCTATGTATTTCCAGATACCATTATCCTGCTTGGCGCTGTAGAATCATAATTTATTGTTTATTTATTCATGTTTTGAAATACACATCTTTCATTTCACAAAAGAATTCATGCTAATACAGGAGTAGAGAATAGTGAAATATGTTCAGGAAAACGATAAGGTTTTTGGGAATAAATTTTGTAGATGAATTTTAGATCCTTTTTTAGTTTCTGCAATTTTTGAGTAACTGCAAACAATAAACTGTGTCCCCCTCCTCATGCAGTTATTATGGGTGCTACCCTTAGAGGCAATATCTTAGATGCCTTGGAATGGATGCAAAATATGCTCAAATATGAAAACTATTAATTCTGATTTAGTAGCTAGTGTACAGTTGCCATGCCAACCAGCAAGCAGTGTACATGTACATAGGATCCGTATCATAATGGTATTATCTTTGAAATCTAGCTCTTAACATTTTGTTCTGAAATTTATTTGAATTGCAATTTTATGAAAAGGTCTTGATTTGACTGTTTTCTTGGATTTCGGCTATATTTGAGTACCCCATTCTTAGGAGGACTGACATGGTAGTGATCGATACACTGTTGTGTTGTATATGTGTGTATTGTGTTGTCAACTAACACCTTTAGTTTTAGCTTTGTAAATTATTCTCGTGACTATCAGTGAAAAAGTCCTTCACTCTAAATATGGTATTTAAGCAGATTTTGAATGTTGGATGAATGAATGCTCTTATTTGCCTGTTTTGACATTACTTTTGCTCGAGTTACAAAAATATCATAATTTGAATTTCGTGATTGAAACACAACGTATGGAGTATTATTAACTGTCATAAACAAATGTTGTGAATGAGGTTGGTGAAATACTGCGAACATGTCTAGTAATTTGAAAGTACATGATTTGCGCTATTTTGCCGTACGAATTGTGACAACCGTGGACTGGCTGAGATTGCTATGGATTATTAATATGAGCTGCTTGAATGATTAAAGGTGAAATGTGTGTATGAAAGATATTGTTGTTTTTACAACACCTGATCATGTAAATTATGTTATCTGTTATGTGTATATTTTGTATATAGTGTTTGTTACAGAGGTATTGTAGATATCATGATGTTCGTTTAACTGTCCTCATTACGCACAGAATGTGCAGTGAGGTTCAAACGATATGAAATTGACATGAAGTCTCGTCCTTGTTGTACAGATTTGTTTCTGTAAAAGTTATATTTTTATTGAAGTCACTTGATTTAAAAACACACTAAAGTAACCAATTTGGACGTACGAAATAAAAAATCGCAAAATTGTAAAGAATAATCCTGTGTGAGAATTAACACGTTGATGACATATCAAACTAGAGTATGTGGATGTACACATGAAATGAGATCATATCATTAAGGAAACAGCATTATGCATATTTAATTGACATGGATGTAAGTTTTGTTCGACTCACATCGATAGACGAGTATCAGGCATTGTAGACCTTGCTGAATAATTTGACTATGATATGATTACTCATAATCGTCCCATTTTGTTTGCTTGTTACATCTGACTGCTTTATTTTATTATGTAGCTTTAACTGTCAGTACGTGACTTCACTTGTGTTGCTGATGTTACCCTTCAAATTTACCATTGTATACTTTCATGGAGTTGAAATAACATGACGCTTGAAATCCAGATATGTAAATATGCTGATGAGAAGAAATAAGGGAACGTATTAAAATATAACGTGAGTATTATTATTCATATCATCAAACCCAAAATAATATAATAGCTGATATGTTTTAGCAACATTGTTTAATCATACTTTGTTCTGAAGGGTAAAACATGCTTGATACATGTTGCCTTATTTGTTTCCAAAAGCATATTGATGAGTGTGTGTTTTTTAAATTATTTCTTAATTCATCAACAACATTGTGAAATGTCATTCTTGTTATTTCTGCTCCATCTGGAAACATTAGACAATGCTCTGCGTTGAAACAGAAGAGATCCCTTAGTAACCACAAGCGGTATATGTAGTAGCAAAGACTGAGTGCAATATTTCTGTCACTGGTTTCCTCTGTGTTGTACACAAGGGACTGCTGGTGATCATGTGACAACATCATGTGACTAGTGATCATGTGACAACACCATGTGATGCTTGGCAGGCTCAGTTAGATCTGAACAACACAGTATGTCAAGATGTTTCAATAAAATAATTTTTGTAAAATATGTAAGTGTACATTTCTACACTTTCAATAAAATGTATATACAAATGTAAACTGGACTTTTGGTTTTGTGTTGGACTTGCTGCTATCAGGAGAGGTAGCCTTATTAAGTGTATGAGGGGAGATTGGTTGGTTGGTTGGTTTGTTGTTTAATGCCACTCAGCACTATTTCAGCTATATGACGGCGGTCTGTAAATAATCGAGTCTGGACCAGACAATCCAGTGATTAATATCATAAAAACCGATCCACGCAATTGGGATCGATGACATGAATCAACCAAGTCAGCGAGCCTGACCACCCCATCGGTTAGTGCCTTTTAGGGCAAGCATGGGTTGCTGAAGACCTATTCTACCCCGAATCTTCACGGGTCGCATGAGGGGAGAGATCTGTGTGGAGCTGTATACACACACAATACATGATATATACGATTATGATATATGATAAACATACAGTCGAACCTCGCTTATCTGGACACTTTTGTTTTCATATATATATATAACGAGTTCCCGAAAAACGAGTTTTCCGGATATATTGGTTGGATATAGTTTGTTGTTTAAGGCTGCACTCAGCACTATTCCAGCTATGTGACGGCGGTCAGTAAATAATCGAGTCTGGACCATACAATCAAGGTGATTGATATCATGAGCATCGATCCACGTCATTGGGATCGATGACGTGCATCAACCAAGTCAGAGAGCCTGACCACCCGATTGTTAGTCGCCTCCTACAACAAGCACGGGTTGCTGAAGACCTATTCTACCGGGGTCTTCCTGAAATATGAATCCCTTGGTGACAAACCATATTTACCTCCCCTACCCAAATTCTACCGAGGCATAAAACTCTGATATCTATCTTTATTCAAAACATTGTATATCACAAATCATTAAATGTACGCTAGCCTATCGCACATGTCTTTTCCATCAATATTTCATCAATTACAGCTAAAATGTACATTGTTGATACAGATACACTGTCAATACAATACATACTTACCATGATGCTGAACGCCACGCCCTCCGTGGTGTAGTGGATAGGGCGTCTGTCTAGAGAGCTGAAGAGACAGGGGTTCGATCCCCGACTACGTCATACCAAAAGACGTTAAAAGATGGTACTTGTTGTTACCCTGTCTGGCGCTCGGCATTAAGGGGCTAAAACAAGGACTGGTCGGCCGGGGTCAGTGTACTGTGTCCGAGTAGGGTATTAATGTTAAAACTTCGAGATCGTATTACAGTGGGATAGCAGTATAAAACCGGCATTAGTTCAAAATATTTCACACACATACAAGTGCAATCTTAAACGCGACGTTATACCCCTATTTCATTTGCCCTCCCCTAAACGCGACCTCCCCTTCACGCCACGCTGGACCCCATTTTACATGATCTCAATACACCCTTGTCATCTCATGACTTCTTGATGGGACACCCTCTGTGTGGATGTCATGGGCGTCTCACAGTACAGTGATTTTACTGCAGACAAATGACAGGACATTTTTAACAACGTTAACGACTTTCTATATGACATTCCGCCATATCTTTGACAAATTTGATTTTTAGGACATTCAGCCAATGTCCCAGAGAAAAAAGATCGATCTGAATCCCCGGAGAACCTGCACCAAAGTTAATCCTTCGCCCCATGTCCTCTTTGGAAGAGAGCAGCGATAATCTCTTCATGTTCTCCGGTATTACTACATTTTAATTGAAAAAGGAGACCCTTGGAGATAGGGATTTCAGAACCCGAACCTGTGGAAAATCTAGACTTGCTTCATTTAAGCATTACAGTAAGGGCGGGACCAAAAAAAGGAAACTAATATGGTTCAGGGACTGTGAGGCAGTCTATATGCCAAGCGTTCCACATGTGTAGAATATCCAAGTTTATGGTTTTTGTTTTACGCCGCACTCCGCGATATTCCACCTTTATGACGGAGGCCTGTAAGTAATCCAACGCCCCACTCCATCGGTATAAGTACATATAAAAACCCATGTTTGATGGTGAATAATAATGAAACAAACAAGAAATAATTATTTAATGGCGATGTATTTGATACCGATGTGTTTCGGACCTTAAGTTTACAGTGTTTCGGCCACTGTTTTCAGCCTAGTACCGTTTTGATAACGTTGTAATTTGAAAGTCAAGTTCAGTTTTCAAGTGTATTCTTTCTTTTCCCCGGCAGTTAATGTTAAACACACACATGCAACGATCAATTACCAGACCACATGCTATCGATCTATATCTGTATACATGGTACCAGCGCAGTCCGACAATGACATACATCACATAGTAATGAATCGATGGTTAAGCTCTGGAACCTATAGAAACACCTGATGCTTCCAGACGAAGACGTACTGTCGACGGACTTTTGACCGCTTGTAATCATACATTATGCGAGTGGCTACCGTAAAGCACTTACCGATGCTTAGAAGGCAGTCTATCCATTCTTGTGCAGAAGATTGAGGTCAGATGACCGCAGACGCCCGTGACACAGCACTACAAGCTATTCTGGACACGTCTTCAGATACACAAGAACAGATTAATAGAGACTCATCGGCAAAACAGTGAATGAGTAAGTATGGTTTTACGCCACAGAAAAGTATGTACGTTAGGAAGAGATGTTTCCAATGTATACCAATTAATGACAAAACTAACAATCAGTCAAGTAATACCACAGAGTGTCTTTATTCTTTTCACGATATGATTCACGTGATTTCCAAAAGTTACATGCTAATTCTGCGCGAGACAAAAGGTGCACTTCGAGTCGTGGATCTATGACGTCACGTCTGATGCGGTAATGCGCGTCGGTTCACTCAAACATTGACCTTCGATAGTCGTAGCATTGCCCCTCACACAAACACAGAAACAAAAATAAATAATTAAAACAAGCAAGTCTACGACATTTTGTCAAGTCTAGATTTCTTCAGTTTATATGGGAAAATATACCTTTTCTGGGGGCCATTCTATAAAATATACTCTTCCAGAAAAGAAACGCAAAGCCAGATTTGCGTGAGGTAGGAAAATACATTTATACGAGGAACCGCACAAGTTATTGAGCCAACATGTTGTGGAGAGAACACTTGGTGATTGTAGTCATCTCAGTTATCGGTACATAGGAAAAGTCGAAGGTGAAGGTCAGCTACCATCAATAACGCGTATGTCCCCCGTTGGAGTCGATAGCGGCCTGACATCTCCTGCACATAGAGGAGACGAGTATGCGAATTACATCCTGGGGAATGGTAGCTTACACGGCCTGCAACGCAAACTGCTGCAACGTCTGGGGTTGTGGTTGACGTCGGCGTAGCCGTCTATCCAACTCATCCCGCAGGTGCCCTATCGGGTTCACACCCGGGGATCTGGCGGGCTAGGGGAGAACAACATCAACGTTGTTGTTGTGTAGACAGGCTCTTGTGATCCGAGCTGTATGAGGTCGAGCGTTGTCCAGCTGGAATACACTTTTGCCGTTGGCTGCAATTTGGAGGACGTGTAGTGGGAGAATTTCGTTGATGTTTCGTTGAGGCGTAAGATGGCCCTGGATATGGACCAAACCTGTCCTGCCATGATGAAAGATATCCATCCACATCATAACGCTACCCCCACCAAACCTGTCCACTCTCTGTACGCAGTTTCCGGCGTAACTGTCTCCCCGACGTCTGTAGACCCCTGCTCTTCCATCCCCTCGACGGAGGAGAAATCTTGATTCGTCGCTGAACCAGACATCTCTCCATCACAGCTGAGGCCATACCCTGTGTTGACGACACAAATGCAGTCGTTATTGACGATGTTGTCGACTCAATATGACGCGTCGAACAGGACGTCTTGCTCGTAGGCCTTCTGCTCTTAAACGGTTTTGTACGGTTTGGTCGGAGATTCTGCGCAGTCCGGGTATATTGGATGCGGTTGAGGTGGCTGTGATCGTCCTTTCACGTAGGTGACGCAGTCGGATATAGCGATCTTGGGCGGGGGTGTTTACTCTTGGTCGTCCCGACTTTGGCCGATCACGTGTTGACCCATGCTGTTGAAACCGATCCCATAGCCTTGTGAGGGTGCTGTGCGCTACATTAAAAAACCCTGGCTACAGCTGATCGGGATTCCCCTGCCCAGCTGAGCGGCCTATGACGTTGTTTTTTTGCACTTCTGTTAATCTTGGCATGTTGTTGAACTGTCACTGTTACTCCAGGCTAGTACAAGCAGCCACATACACACACACACATTTAGTCGCTATATAGTGAGTGAGTTTGGTTTTACGCCGCCTTTAGCAATATTCCAGCAATATCACGGCGGGGAACACCACAAATGTGCTTCACACATTGTATCCTTGTCGGGATTCGAACCCGGGTCTTCGGCGTGACGAGCGGACGCTTTAACCACTTAGCTACCCGACCGCCCGTAGTCGCTATATAAATGCAATGATCTTGAAAGCGGCGTTAAACCTCATTTCACCTAACCCCTATTTTGATAATACCCTGGAACATTCACACAATCGCTACCATATCTTACATTTTGAGCACGACTCAGATCGCACGACCAATTGATAGCCTTCCCATTGAATTCATCTCACGAACGAAATAATGTTTGTGCTCAGTTAGAGATAGGAGAGACGGGGATGGTGACGTCACTTTCGAAACGAAGCTATGGTGGCCAGTGAGTTCTGTATTTTTGTCAATTAGAGTGGAAATAAATACACTGGATAAACGAGGATGAGGTCCCACGTTTGAAGCACAATCGGGATTTGGTCGAAACATGGCTCAAAATATCGACCCTTCACACAATGATTTGTTTGTTTGTTGTTTACGCTTCACTCAGCAATATTCCAGCTATATGACGGCGGCCTGTGAATAATCGAGTCTGGGCCAGACCATCCAGTGACTGACATTATGAGCATCGATCTACGCAATTGGGATACGATGACATGCGTCAACCAAGTCAGCGAGCCTGACCACCCGATCCCGTTATTCGCCTCTTACGACAAGCATAGTCGCCTTTTACGGCAAGCATAGTCGCCTTTTACGGCAAGCATAGTCGCCTTTTACGGCAAGCATAGTCGCCTTTTACGGCAAGCATA